GACAATCTGTAAAAGCATTCAATTTGTAAAAGAATTCAAGAAACAATACTGATTAATTTTTGAAAAAAAATGAAATATTTTTTTGATTAAAAAATTTTTTTTTTGGATTTAAATAATGCTTAAATACTAATAGTGCTTAGGGTTGCGTGGTAACCGTATCACGGTAAATTTTTTTACGAAAAGATGTCAAAACTAGAAACTTAAAGCTTAAATACAACCATTTTTAGATGAATTACAACCTTTCAAAAATCACCAAAAAATTTAGGAAAAATTTTTTGGAGTAGTGTAAATACATGCAAAGTGTCTCAAATCTATGGAACCCCATTGTTAATTTTTTATATTTTTTGAAGTCAACTTGCATTCACTTACCGAGAAGATACCGTTCCAAAGTCCCACATTCATTCGCATAAATTTGTTGTTGAACAGGTCCTTTCGTTGTTGGTGGTGGGTATTGAAACGAACAAATCCATTCGCCTTGTACTCTCAAAACACGCCCGGTCACTCGAGAGTAAAATTCGTAATTATCTTTCCCGAAAAGATACGACGTGGAAAATTGTTCTATAAGGAGCTTTACGACACGTGAAGCTACCTATAACATAAAATAAATATAAATTAAAACTCATTTCGCACAACGAAATTTCACAATAATTCATGCAATTTTGTTTTAGAAGTACATACACAGAGGCCAAAATAGCCATTACATTTAAATTACAATTACAAGTGTTTTTTCATGCGACAATTCCTAAAAATCGTCCCACTGAAAAAGTATAGTTTTTAAGTGGGCTAACACGGTCTTTAATGTCACAACTAGGGACATCTAAAGCCAAAAAATTTGTAACTTACGTTCACTTCGGCCTTGTTGCAAAAAAGAAAGCATTGTACAGCGGAAGCAAATTCATAATAATCAGATACAAATTTATACATTTTTGGAAAAATATTGAAACGAAATATTTATTATCTACCTTAAATTTCATAACATCTTCCATTCTCGCTGCTTTTCCGTCGCTTACGCAGGAATGAAAAAAACTTGGAGCTACACTAACGCCAAGAGCTTCACTCGTCATCCCAGTACCAGCTTTTTCACTATTACACGCAATCACTCTAAATGTACCAAAGAGCAAAACTAACAGTCTTTGCGTGTAAACTGGCAGTGAAGTTATTATGCTGCAAGTAACAATAAAAATCATTACAATTATATTTAAAATAGATTTATTAGTTAATCAATTTATGTTTTGATCTCTTGTATTAATCCAAATTTTAATCCTATGAATACAACGCATGTAACAATTTTGAGCTATTACTTATCAGCGTTTCCTAAAAATAACTGATAAAAATGCTATCTTTGTGACTAAACAGAATAAATTAATTTCGTAAAACAATAGACTGACGTCATGACAATTCCTCCTAGCATATTAATTCTTTAATACACACATATGTAAGTCAAGTTTATAAAAACATTAAAATATTATTTAAAAAACTTACGTTTCAATTTCCATTCGTTGTTCTCTATCGTCTGGTATGTCAAGAACTTGGAAAAACCGTTGTTCTATGTCTTTGCCAAATACGCCTCCTGGTATCTTCCGAAGAAATTTTTTTAAAACACTAGCAATTGTATACACACTAAAATTATCCATATTAACTAGTCTACCAGTCTGTAAAAAGTGTATCAGTTTCTTCATTGCACCCTGATGTCCAGGAGCCCTAAACACGTCTTTGCGGTAAGGGGCTTCCTTATTCAGTTTTAAGATCAACACCTGCAATAAAAACTCAGAATTATGAGTTATTCCTAATGGAGGAACTTCAAAAGAATGTAAAGTTCATTGGGGTTCGTGGATTCGTAAACTGTGGAGGTAGATAACGTTTGTACGAAAGAGAAAAAGTTATAATTGTAAATTATTAATAACAATAGTTATTTATTCGACGAGTTTGAGTGTAAATCGGACTCTTTATTTGACCCAGTGGATTTTTAAACGACGAGTGTAACGAGTGGTTTACCATCCACGAGGTGGAATAAAGCGTCCGATTTACACTCAAACGAGTGGAATACAACATTTTATTCTTTGAATTAGAGTCAACAAGGCTTAAACTTGCTTTAAATGTGTTAAAAATAATTTGACGTTTTGTATTGAGAAATGCCAAACAGTTGTCAAAACTTCCTTACACGGGAGAAAAACCGTAAATTTTGACAGTGTCGAAGAATAAAAAATTTTAAGAAACGTTGTTCAGAACAAAATTTGAAACATTTTCCTAACTACAATTTTTAAATACAGGGTGAATATAAAGTATGGAACCAAGCGGTTTTATTTTGTATCGTTTGCCTCCAAAAAATAATAATTAATATAAATTAAAGTAATATAAAAAATGTGATCGTATTTTCAGAACGAAATTTTGTTTTGTTTTTAAGTTATGCGATTTTTTTTTGTCAAATTTGCAATTTATGTGAAAAATTTTTTTGAAAAAATTAAATATAAAGCAGATAGTTGTAATCTTTAGAGTATAGCTTTTATGAGAAAAATGATTTTATAGTGGGTTGGCATGTAAAAAAATTAAATTTTTTGTAGAACTCAAAAACAAAAGAAAATTTCGAAAAATTTTATTCTTGTTAAATCATCACATTTTATAGTACTTTATCACTCATCAATTAGTTTTTTCAAAAAATAAATAGTTTAAGCAAAAAACGTGTGGTTCCATACTTTTTATTCACCTGGTATGTGCTATTCGTTGAATTTTTAAGTTTGCAAAAATGTCCTCAATTTTAGTATGTACAGGGTAAATATAAAGTATGAAACCAAGCAGTTTTATTTTTAATCATTTGACCCCCAGAAAATAATAATTAATATATATTAAAGTAATATAAAAAATGTGATCGTATTTTCTGAACGAAATTTTGTTTTGTTTTTGAGTTATGCGATTTTTTTTTGTGAAAATTGAAATTTTTTTTTGAAAAAATTAAATATAAAGCAGATAGTTGTAATCCTTAGAGTATAGCTTTTATAAGAAAAATGATTTTATAGTGGGTTGCCATTAAAAAAAAAAACAAAAGGAAATTTCGAAAAATTTTATTCTTGTTAAATCATCACATTTTTATAGTACTTTATCACTCATCAATTAGTTTTTTCAAAAAATAAATAGTTTAAGCAAAAAACGTTTGGTTCCATACTTTTTATTCACCTGGTATGTACTTCTATTGAATCATTTATTTCTACACCTAACAACTTAAACTTATTACAACATACATATACGTGTTTTTTCTATAAAAATTCCAATTGTTAATATTTTTAAATTATGATTTTTTTAAAGGATTTTATTTTATAAATAACTGACACGATAAAAAAAAAATTATAATAAATTCATTTTTGTTTTAGACCAAAGTAGGCTATGGAAATTGGGCGACTTGCATGGTAAGACTGTGGCTGAATGACAATAAAATAGCCTACTCTGGTCTAAAAGAAAAATAAATGTATTATATCTACATTTATGTAACATTGCTAGTGAAATAAAAAGGTTTCGGAGATATAGAAAATTACTCGTTTTTTTGACATTTACTTGTAGTCTGTTCAAATAAAAAAAAAACTTAAAAATTCTAAAGATTTTCATATTCGATATTTCCGAAACCGTTACTTTGCGGACCCATGTTTACAAAGACTTTTTTGTTTATTTTGGTCCATATTATTATTTGACAATCATTTTTTAACACCCTGTATAAGCAACTTACGCATCTTGTAACCTTGAATCATTTTATAATGAAATTTATTTTATTTTACTGCTTTGACAATAGTCTGATTAATTTATGTCGGGGATAAATTTCAGCATATGTGTTACAATAATTGTAACTATAATAACGATACCACCAATAATCCAGGGCTTTTGTATGATTATGATTCAGAAAAATTGATAGAAAAACATATGAACCTTTGATTTAGACATTCAAAAACAGTAGCAAAAAACTAAACCGTAAAATAATATCTTCGAAGGTAATTTAGTAAAATTGTCTGAAAAGTCAACTAGATAATCACAAAACAGACGCCAAAAGCTAATTTAATTTTTTAACACGGGAAAAAGCGATCATAAAGTCCTATCAAGTAGGCACACGTATGTCGCATAACAGTCCGTATGTTAACAAGTTGTCAAAAAGTTATTTTATAAAAATTAAAATTGTTGTATCATTCTATGAAACTTTTTAAAACATTCTTAAATAAGAAGATGTTTTTGAGGTCTCGAGTGAAAATTTACTACCAACATAATTTTGACATTTGTCAATTGTCATCATGACGTTTTATGAGTACGTTCCAAACTTTTACGCTAGTTTGATAGGACTTTTTTAGTTCATTGTACAAAGTGATAAAAAATGACTGTTTCTGTTGGCAATCCTGACTTTAATTTTTAAAGACTACCATTAGGGTACTGTTGCAAATTGTTAACAAAAATACATTCAAATCTGTCACTAACAGAAACAGTCTTTCTGAATCCCTTCGTATAACACATTTTCCTACACCATAAGTTTTTAAGTTTTTCCATGTAATACAAATAACTATTTTAGAGTTCATAACTCAAGTAAGTGTTTATTAAAAAAGTTGCATTTAAGACATTAAAAATATTCTACCCGATTATAAAATCTGAAGCCTTTTAAAGTAGGTATTTTTTTTTTAATAATAGGAAAAAGTCAGTAAAATGAGGACTTTTCTCAACTATTGAAATAGGAAAAACAGTTATTAATTAATTGAAATAATATTTATAAAAGATATTTGGGGCGTTGAGAATTAGCAAAATTAAGCGAAATACTAATGAAAGTTAGAATTTTAAAATTTTCTTTTGTTTCAAATAGTCACTTTACCTTTAATATTTTTTGTTTATGAAAATTTGACCAATAAGCAGTTGGTCTGAGGTTAAAATTAAATTTAAATTTTTGTGGGTTATCCCACTCTATACTAGTCATCGAAGTAGCCGTTGAAAGGGATGATTTTAGGGTGGCAACCATGCGAAAATTCAAACAATTCTAACCTCAATCTTCTTTTTTCAAATAAATGTGTACCCCAGGTAGCAAGAAATAATTAAAATTAACAAATTTTTTCTCATTATTGATGTCATTAAATTTGTTCTGAATGACATTAATGACATTTTTGTGTGAATTGGCCTTTAAATACTTCTACAACCTACTTGATGCACATTAATATAAAAAAGAGTATAATTCCAAACGCTTGATTTAATATAACGCACAATTAAAATTTTCGCATTTTTCCTTATTTCTCTGCGAGGCAATTCCATCTACCGATTGTAGATTTTCTCCTATAACTAAGGTCTTAAATGAAAAAGTTTAGATGGGTCAGCCTGTAGCACATACGAGTGGCACAAAAAATGTCAAAAGCTTAAAAAATATTTAGGAATTGCAACTCCTCCTGTTACTACTTACAAGAAGTGGTCCCGGAATGTCGTTTTTGCAGACTTCTTCAAGAGGTACCCCAAACTTAACTTTCTCCAACCTCCGAGGGTAGGGTCCTGAAGGATGGCCACACGACGTGACCACGTTACTGAATGTGGCAGCTCGCCTATGCATCCTAGCTGCCCAACTGCTCATCTCAAACAGCCCCGTCTAATGTAATTACAATTACAACAATCATTCAAGCATAACCTAACTAAAAGCGCACATCAAAACATCTTCAAACTGAAAACGTTCACTTAAACAAAACAACTGGACTTTAACGAACACTAAAGACTATTTTACTCATTTTGAGCACATTTGGAGTTGTAAAGTTTGAATATTTTTTTTTACAAACACCAACCACACCTCCAATTTCTACACCACAGATGACAGATCGCTACGCCTAGGAACCTACGATTATCATTTCTCTAATATGAAATACCAAAAATCGATGGTGGGGGGCGAGCACAGCCAACTGTCACTTGGCATTCGCGCGTGCCATTGGCTGGCGGTTGAAGCGCCAAACCAAATACTGTTTCAAAATGGACAATAAACAATTTGAGTATTTACAGTTTATTGTTTTTATATTTTATACATTAAGTCATACATTCTTCATTTCTCGTGATTTTACCGTTTTATGGTCGTTTTAAAAAAGTTACAACTGTTTTATACATTGCAAACACGAAATTTCATTATAAAATAGAACATGACGGTGTGTTGTAGTTTCTATGACTCTGTATCTACAATGTTGAAACTTAAACAAATAAGATAGGATTGCTGATCGTACTGTTTTGAAGCATTTAAACAGTTAAAAATTTGTGTACAAAATAAATAGTAGCCACTATAAAAATTACATTTTACATAAACACTGACAATCTCGCTATCAAAACCGAAGATGATTAAAGCTAATATATACATTATTGACTTTAGAAAAAAGATAAACTAATAGAGAGACCAGTTTCTTAAATATTAAACTATGATTTAAATACACTTTTATACATTCACAATTATACTTATTATCACTTACTATTGTTAACTGCTACTTTACGTTTCTTTAGCTATTATGTACTGGACTATATTAAACTTAAAAATACACGTGATAAATTATATATTTTAAATAATAAAATAACATAGCTATTTTTAATACTATTATAAAAACGTTACTATTAATACACTTTTAAAAATGTTTATTTCGTCCTGTGGCAATTTAATTATTAGGTGAAACTAGTTATCACAAAATCAAAATTCACGTCGACAATATGTGTGTAAAATGAGATTTTTTTCGTACACTTTGGGTATTGCCAGCTTTAACACAAAAGCAATTCTTTTAGTATAAGAAATTTGGATCTAGAAACAATTCAGTTATCCTAATGATGGTATTTTTTATCAGACGCTATCCTACAATAAACGAACCAATAAAAATGTAATTAACCGCTACGCAACATCAAGTTGAGCACGTGTACGCTCAAAGTGTAGGAAACATGTACATAAGTTAAATTTTGCTCAAATGTAATTTCAGTGATGAATAAATAAAGTCAAATAATATATACAACTTGTGGAAAAATAACACTTCGTGAGAAAAACCTTTGAATATAATTGTAGTATATACAAAGTCCTTTAGTTTTTTTATGTACACCTAACCCACACAGTTAATAGTAAAGCCAGTGAATGTATTGATTGACAAAATCTATTTAATATTAAAGTGTTGTCTTTTTTAATAATAATTCAGACAAACACTTTGGCCAATCCATCAGCTCCTGCACTTGCAATATACGGTCGTGTCGGATGAAAAGCGACATCTAGAATGCTTTCGTGGAACTTCTTCCTGTGTGCAGTTATCTCTTGAACGCAGGTCTTACTGTCCAAGTTCCATAGTCTTATTGAACAATCATGTGAGCCTAAAAAAAAATGCAATAACACATGTTCCAATATAGTGTTGTAAAACTTGCCTGATAATAAATACAACCCATTAGGATCTACAGCTAGGCTAGTAACAGCTTCAAGATGAGCAACCATTGAATTAACCATTTTCCCTGTGTGGTTATCCCAAAAACGAACATATCTATCTTCGTGTGCCGTGATAGTCAAAGGTAAAGTCGGATGGCAAACTATTCTATTTATTTGTTTATTATTAAGATTAACACTGTCTTGACTTAATTCGAGTCGCATAACGGATTTGGCAGTTTCAGAATCATATACTACACAATGAGAGCTAGCATAAGCTGCGACTATACGATTTGGTTGGTCTCTCACAAAATCTACACTTGAAGGTATTCCGTCCTGTTCAGACGTGAAAGTGTTTAACAATTGTACCTAAAACAACGAAATAGCTCAATGATAAACAAATGTTTAAAAAAATACCTTGCTATGAGGTGCCCACAATTTAACAGTACCATCGGCCGCACATGATAACAAATGTTGCCGCGAATTTAAAACAGACAACCCCCAAACAGCGTCAGAATGACCTTGTAACGTTGTATTCAAAACGTCAGGTTCAAACAAATCGTAAGGATCTATGTTAGAATTAGGAACATTCCAACAGTTTATTACGCCATCTAAACCACCAGAATAACAATATTCTCCAGTTCCGGAAATCGCCAAACAAAGAACAGGTCCGGTGTGATTCCTGTAAAATTATTTTTACTTGTTTATTTCTCTAGATTTGTCATTACTACGGAGAACTACATACTAGGAGACGAAACGAGATACAAAATTGCTTGATTTTTTGGACCCAAAAAAAAATAGTACGGCGGAGTAGAGCGTTTTACCGCCTCAGTTTCAAATCGTTTTTAATTAATTTAAATTCAACCAGTTTACTATTTGCTTGGAAAAAATGCAAAAATGTTGAGCTTTGTATTCTTAATAAGCTGTAAAAAACGAACCACTCAATTTTTCACGAGGAATATGAGAAGAAAATATTTAAAATTCAAAATCTGTGCTCCGTTTCATGTTTTCCAAAATGCTGCGAATACGGTTAAAGATACAAGAAAAACGTAAGAAAGAAAGTTGTAGAAAATAAAATTTTCTAGTAAAAAGTCCGTGACACCATACCTCTATCTTTAATGGTTTAGGCCTCAAAGACATTCAAAGCCGCTCAAGTGACGGATTCGTTTCATTTTTACTGGTGATTGAGTGCCGGGGGGACACTTTAAAGCAATTTAAACCTAAACCGTTGATGATAGAAATATGGTGTCGCGGACTTTTTTTGTAGAAAATTTTATTCTCTACAATTTTGTTCCTTACACTTTTTTGTATCTTTAACCATATTCGCAGCGTTCTTAAAAATATTGGGCGGAACGCAAATTGATAATTGTTTATAATTTATTTTTAATACTGTTTTCGATATTTTTGAAAACGCTGCGAATATGGTTGAAGTTACAAAAAAAGTGTAGGAAACAAAGTTGTAGAGAATTAAATTTTATACAAAAAAGTTCGCCAGACCACATATTTCTATCTTCAACCGTTTAGGTTTAAATTAATTTTCTGTCTCTTGACCACCGGTAAAAATGAGCCGTATTCGTCGCTTGAGCGTCTTTAGGACCTAAACCATTGAAGATAGAGGTATCATCTCGCAGACTTTTTTCTTGGAAATTTCATTCTCTACAACTTTCTTTTTTATACTTTTCTTGTATCTTTAATCGTATTCGTAGCATTTTCAAAAATATGAGACGGGGCGCAAATTGCTAAATCTTCTTAAATATAGTTTTCAATAAAATTTTTGTATCACCTTTATTTCTTATTATTGAGAATTTAATGCTCTATCTGCCCTTTTTTTTTATTTGCGTTTTGCTCACCGTTATGTAAATACAACCATTTTTTTATTTCATTGCTCTTAAAAGTTAAACGGGAAAGGAACAACTACGCTATCTGGCCTCACTAACGGAACTATAAGGGGTACGTTTTGTTTTACATCGTGTCGTATCCTAGTCTTTAGGTATCCGTAGTCATTACCTAAAAGTGTATAAAGGTTCCACATCCAAGGATGCTGATTTTTTCGCGGGTACAGTTTTCTGTAAATTCCACAATTTTAATGTATGATCTTCACTCGCAGTAATCAACACGGGCTCGTTTGGATGAAAAGCTAATGCTCTAACTCCGTCAAAATGACTTCTAAGTGTATATTTGGCGTTCCATGTCTTTCGAAATGCCTCTTTAGTGCTTGCTATATCGTAGGTTGTCTCAGCATCATTGTTGACAGTAAGTTGGGCCAATTCGCCGAGTCCTAACGCCGAATCAATGTTATCGTCGTCGTTTAGTCCCAGTGGCCTTTTAGGTACCCCACTTTGAAAACCTAGAAAGTATCATTGTTGTCCAGACTCAATTTATCAAGTGCATTTTTTTACCTTTTTTCCACTCACTGTGTTCGTTCTTAAATTCCTGGCGCTCTCCAGATTCGGATAAAAGATTAAGTTCGTTTAAAACTTCCATAGCTTCGGCGTCCACATCGTCTCCCAAACTGTCCAATTTACCTAAATATAAAGCATCAAAATTAATTTCCATTTATCGGGATTACAAAATATACGTTGTCCGAATTATATTGACAATACCTTTTCGTTTCACTACTTTTACATCGTCGTCGAGATCATCAGTAGGTTCAATGTCAACATCGTCACTCATGTCATCATCGTCTTCCATATCAACATCGGCATTCGATAGGAAATCCAAATTGGCCATAACTGCAGCTTCTGTATCCAGCATCATTGCTTCAGCTAATGAGCTAGGTTGAGGTTTCTTAGCTGGAGTTCTTCTTCCTATAAAATAACAAATATTGTTGTAGATTCTAAACATTTGGTATGTGTGTAATATCTTACCCTGTGTTTCGCTGGCACGTTTAATCGATTCATTGCCGTTAACCGAACTTCCGTTGTGATTTTCTTCCGGTTCGGTGTTGTTATTTAATCCTAGAAGAGCTCTAACCCGTGTTGATCTCACATCGATAATTCGATCGGTATACCCGATTTCTTGTAAATACTGTCTAAGTAACTGACGACCTTGTTTCCAAGTCGAATTAGAAACGGCAACGTACGATTGGTCGATATCCATTTGAGATTCACACGCTTCATCTATGATTGGAGGTTTCATGTCTCCTTGTTGCAATTCAGTACCGTATTTCAATTTGTGAAATTTTCCCCTTTCTTGCTTCAAAGCGTACTCCAACATTTTAATGCGTCGAACTAAGTCATTTTTCAAGTTTTCTTGACCCTTACGCTCGCCTTGGAGGAAAGCAATCCTGGCCTACAAATAAAAAAAAATATTGACAAAAATACAAGTATAGAAGTAGTATAGTAGTAATAATATTATTACAAGAGTACATCAAGTTGTCAAATTATGTATAATTACACGATATACATATTTATAACGAGTGTTTATTTAAATTTAGCGTCATAGTTAGCGGTGATATGAGTGTTTTGTGAACGGACAACAATTTTTAATGTTTTCAATTCTGACAATTTGAAGAGCGACTTAAACTAAAAAAAATTGCCGATTATCGTCAAAATTATAATACACTAGTGACTAAATCTTATGAAAGTGAGTTGATTTTAATTTGATAAAAATGTTTTAAAGCTTTGATTTCCAAAAGAGGAAATATAAATAATGTATACTATAATATAAAATGTTTTAAGAATAGATTAGACGAAGAGATCAATATTTTCGTTAAATTTGAAAAACGTAAAAACGATTAGGCCAAAATTAATTGTTGTGTAATGAAATTCCTGTTTTTGTCTTTTTATTTAAAAAAAAATGTTTTTATATCGTCTAAATTTTATCTTAGTAATTATGGATTTTTCATTTACTTCTGCTATGAACAAAGACCTGAGAACAGTCATCATATTTCGCACCTGAAGACATTATCAAGTGCAATTTTGATAGAAATAGATTGCAATAAGTGCAATGTTATGGATAAAATCGAGTTTCCCGCATCAAAATTTTTATTAAAAATGGGTGTAAAAATACAAAAAGTTATGTTATGGTGATTACAAGTAAAGTTTTATGAAGACTGGCAATAAAAAATGTGTGATTTATTTGTGTTCGAAATTGATACCAAGTTCTACAGGGTGTTTCACACAACTTTACGAGGCTTGCGCCTAATGTACGCACACAAATACACAAAAGTCACAGAACACTGGATACAAAAAATACACTTCTAACAATTTAATTTTTGGAAACCCATGACAGTGTTGTCAAACTAATCACTGTTTCATTAATAGTCATAAACTGCAGTTTTTCAGAAACAATTATTTAATTTTTTAAAGGGTGAACAAAACAAAGTTTGTATCGGAATATGTATTATTGATTGCATCTAAAATTACGTAAAACACCCTGTATATTGTTCTTTAGTTGCAATTAGAATTTTCAGTTTTCTTATATTTATACCCGTTTTAGTGTTTTCTCTAAATTTTCCTAGATGCTTTTGTTTAATGAGATTTTTTTTTCAAAAATAAATCAAAAACTGTAACCAACTCCTTTTATTAAATTAGCGCGAACGAGCTAGTGGTAGCAACATTCAAAACGTTTGACATTCTCATTACAAAAATACCGGGTGACTATTAATATTTGTGACAAAAAAGTCTATTGGCAACATTGAATTAATTATTGGTAATACTTCTAATTTGTTATATCAGAATTCGTAAAATACGAGTAAGAAGGAAGGCTGACACATGTAAACTCCATGGGCGCCGCCATTTGGTCCTCAAAAAATGCATACCTCACTAATAAGTAATATAAATGAATAAAACACAATCAACAGTATATTTTTTTTATTAATACCTAAACATTATTGCTTACGAAAGCATTTTTCTAACGGGGGTCCCAATAATCAACTGAATAAACTGTTTTTTTGTATAAGATTTTCAGTTTCAGAATACAGAATAACACCAAGAAAAACTAAATGGTCAAAGTAACTACCTCAAAAAACATAATAAAAAGGACTTTTGGTCTATTTCTTAGTTTGGCCACACTAGAGATATTACTAAAATTCTTGGGATTTTTTTGGTTATTGGTATCATTGATGACCAAATGGCGGCCTCCACACCGCGACAGTCGCCCGTCGGAAATTAATGACAATTGCCTATAAAAGTTTGACGTTTGAATTGGAAAGACAAAGTTGCCAAACTCAAATTTTAAATTTGACACCAACTTGAGGTAAAAAATCACAATCATTTACAGTCACCCGGTAATTGTTAGACATTTTGAGTAAAACAAAAAACAAACTAGTTGCTGCCAACTTTCACACTAAACTTTTGACATCTAACTTCTGTGTAAGAAAATACTTTCAGGACCGGTTTACACGACCGCTAATCCTGAAATAAGGATAGAGATTGGTTAAAATGTGGACAAATCACATGTTTATAAAAGAAAAGCATCAAATTTGACGTTTAGTGTAAATGCCGTCTTGATTTTGATTGAATTAGTATCACCGGATGTTTTAATTTTTATATTGAAATAGTTCTGTATAGGTACGTGTATTTTCGTTTTATTATTCAAAACACACATTAGGTAAACGCCAAATAAAGATATAGATTTGTAATAAAAATATTTTTGATAATTATTATTCAAAACACATTTGATTGCAGCGGTTAAACAAATGATTGAAGAGTGTTAAATCACATCCTATCTTATCATTTGTTGCTTCGCTTATTGAGTCAAATGTGAATAAACCCAGCATAGACGGGAAAAAGTGAAGGAATTTCGATCCGTATTAAGACTTACTTATATTGAATGTATTAATAAGAAGTCTCTTACTTGTAATTCGGCCCTGTCGACTTCCCACTGTGATCTTTCCAATTCGAACCGTGCCCATTCGTGTTGAATAAAATGCAATATTCCAGGAATCGAATATTGTGCTTTGGGATTGGCTTCTTCGTTTTGTTTATTGTTGGTTACTGAAACGGTCTGGGGCCCCCCGATTTGGGCCCCATTCTGATGATTTAACGAATTGTCTTCCATAATGTCGATGCCGAAACTAGAAAATTTCATAAAGCCACCATTATTCTTCAAATCGCCATTTTAACTCTAACACTAGGGATTCGAATGTCACTTCACTGTTCACGAAATCATTTTTCGAAACACAATAATTTAAGGATTTCGATTATTGGGTAGGGTTTAATTGGTGTTTAGGGCCGTGTACCATAAAAACATTGATTTCCAAACGAAATTTCACATTCATTCAACCATTTCACATCTGGTAGATTTCCTTTTTCCTCCTTCCACTTCAATCGTTTTCTACGTACGCCATTTACCCTCTTTGTCTAACACAGTTGACAGGTCCAGAAGCCATTACATTCTCTTATCATGGCGGACATCTTTTGCGATTATCGACTTTAATGCCTCATGTTACAAGGGCAGTTTGTCTTTGCACAAGCTGGGAAGTGTGTTTTTATGCCCTCAACCGATGAAATGGTTAAATCATCTCAATATCAAAAGGAAGACACTCAGCAATTATATTTTTTGATGCAAAATTTGTTAAAAATAAAAACATCAAGTGTGTAGGTAGGCAACTTCCATAACAGTGTTGTATTTCTGGTTAGCTGCCCTACAGGAATTTCTGCCTAATTATGCCCTTTTTAACAATTATATTTTATTTAAGGCAGTTTTTCTTCAAAAATCATTCACTTATTTACAAGTTAAGGTGACGCTTTACCAGATTACCCTATATCAGATGTAGAATAATTGTTTGTTTTAAATTAAATAACTAATCTACTAAGAGAGTAAAAAGATAAAATTAGGCCTCTAAAAGCCGTCTAATTAGATTTATTCATTTCAAACAATACTTGATGATACAAGGAAAGTGAAGTACAAATCAATGAATTTACAGTTTGTACCTATTAAAATTTTCCACTATTTTGGTAGTATTTATAAATTAAATATTTTCATAGTGGATATTGTACAAATAAGTATATAAATAGTATAAAATCACACGTAATCAACTTTTCATTGTTACTACGACGTATCTTTCTCCAAACTTTTGGATAATCCTACTTAAAATATGATTTACATTTATGTAAACACTGAAAGCAAATGTGTCAAAAATAGCCCATTACTTTTAAAACTGATTACATATTTTTATGAAATCTCCTGTCTTATTTTAGTAATTTTAACTGGTAATAAAGTAACCATTTCCTTGCAAATACTGAGTTCCATAGGAATCAGTTCCGCTGCTTTTTCGTTAGTTTTGCAATAATCAAGCACTTTGTTATACATATTAAAACTACTTTCAACATTTTGCAACTGCACATTTTTGTCTAAAGTTATAAACCTGCTATTTAAAGCAGCAATATGAAAATAAGCCTGAAGAAAGGCTTTTTCAAAATCACTTGGAATTTTTTCAGGTAGCTCTTGTTTGGTACCCTCTTTAAACGAATCAATAAAACAAGTAAAATTATAAATACTTCTCTCAATCAAGTGGTTGATTTTGGCTAAAATATGCGGGGAAGGTCTATCTTTCGACTCACGAAGCTTGTCAGATTTGATATTGAGTATATCGGAGTAGGTCTGCGCTAACTCGTACCAAATCTGGCGACAATATTGAAGATAATATTGTGGATTTACTTTTTTAATAATGTTTTCCAACAAGTCAATCCTACGTTTATGCAACTTTGATTGATTTTCGGGATTTTCTTCGAAAAATAACAAATTTAGATACATTTGGCTCTTATCTTGCACTATTTCTAAATGATCAGATGCTAATGTTTCTAAAGTATAGTAAGCTTCGGCTTTTTGCAACCAGTTTTGGATGTTTAGAAACACATGACGCGCGTCTTGGATCGTAAGAATGAACTTATAAGTAATTTGATTTTCGTAATGAGTGAGATCTAAAGATGTGAATTGTAAGTTTTGCAAATCAGCGGTTGTTACACTAGCATCTGAGTCAAGAGTTAGAGTACTGAGATCAGATGAAATCGTGCAATGTTTGTCAATGTCGTCAGTGTGATTTAACAATCTTTCCTTAGATTTAGATAAGAGAAGTAAACCGTATTTGGCCCAACATCGTGCAATATCGGCCGATCTATGCTTGAAAACTTCCATTTTGGCATCAAAAGCTTCATTTCTTTCAGTAATAGCATCCAGGGTTTTGGCATACTGGTCCAAAATGTATGAACTTGCAGCCAAGTGGTGTCTTGCTTGTTTGAAACCGTTTTGTTCCATGAGAAATTGGGACAAAGTGGCGGCGTTTAGGGCCCAGTCTATAGACTCATAATCGCCACTGTCGAGCTGTCTTTGTAAGGTGATGTGACAATACACTGCACTTTTTAAAGCATCTTTCAGAGCTCCATATATTTGGGCCAAGTAGTACAGCGTGAATGTGTAAACTTTTTCAAAATTCTTCCAAGCCATTTCAACGTTGTTTCCTTCGAAATTTGGATTAAACACATCGACTATGTCAACTGGTGGTACATTTGATTTCTTGTAAATTGTGTACAACTTTTCAGCCTCTTCAAGGTAAGTTTTCGACTTTTCTGGGTCCCTTTGCGACCATAAAATTCCAAACTGGTTGTACATGTTCAATGATACCATCACCACTTGAGCCTCCTGTGTGTATTCTTTTATTAAATCTTGACACTTTATCAAATACTCCTCCCCACTTTGTAATTCCTCAGTGTCAATTGAAACGATACCCAGATATAGATAAACACTCCCTAACATTGCTACAAATAATTATCACCAGGTAAGTTTTTACAACAATTGGGCCACAACCTGTGATTTTAATTTTGTCAGAGACTGATTGAGTTCGTATCACATTTTCTAAACTCGCTTTCATGCTTAATAATGTCTCTCTAGCGGCGTATTTCGATACATAGGGTTGATTTTCAGGGTCGTATTTACTGTCTTCGAGCAACTTAAGGACCTTATTGAATTTTTCGTCTAAATCGACAAAAATCTCTTTGCTCACAGTCATGATGGACACTGGAAACAACTGTAAAATATGTGGTTCAAATGTGACACAACTTTTCTAACACCAGTTCGAATTCTTTATTTGTAAGGTTTATTTAACAATATTAAATAAATTTCAGGTTAAGTCAGAGACCGACAAATCTGTCAAATAGTTGAGTCTAGTGGACTATGGATGAAAAAATGTGGAGCGCCGCGCGATTTGAATATTTTTTCTCAATTATTTAATTTAAAAAATAATTATATCTTAAATGCCAAGCCGAAAAGAGGTTTGATCTCACAGCAAATATATGATGTATTGTATGTTTTTTAATTTGAAGTTAATTTTGTAATTTTAGAGTTTAATTGGGACACTAAGTCACCAACCTGAATACATGTAATTTCCCTAGTGCAAACTACATTGTTTTTTTGAATTTTTAAGACAATTTTAAATTGGTTAAATTGCAGAAACAGCAACCGGGTTTAGCTCCACTCATTTAGAACTAGTGATCCCAAAAGCATCATAATAGAAATTATTAAAAATTTAATTTTTTGAATACATAGGCAATCAGTTTTACTGAGATGCTACGAGGAGATTTTAAACATATCTTATCAATTATTACCATTTAAATTTAATTTTTAGTGCTGCTGACATCTACAGAGTGGTTATACATGATTTTCATCTAGCCAGCTTTGGAATTTTTTTGCATGTTAAGTAAAATCGTTTTCCTAAGACCTACTAAAAATTTATTACTTTTAAGTTAAATGCCGTATTGTTAAGAGTAAACCAAAGGGTAAACAAATCATAAATTAGTGGAACCCACCCGGACCCTAAAACAGGTCAGTTTTTAACAGGGCCGGATTACGTACTTTCTTTTTGTCTAAAATACTTGAAATGTTTTTGTAGTTGTTATTAAAGTCAAGTATTTTAAGAAATTTAACAAAGCCAGGTGGTTATTAACAAGCTATTATTAAATAAAACTGATTTTTTTTAATAATAGCTTGGTGAAACTCTACCACTACTTTTGTTTTAAATACGGCCCTGTTTTATTCTAGTGGGTGCAGCAACACTTGCAAAGGAACGTGCCATTCATGGAGGGCTACAAATTCAAGCCATTGTTTGCTTAATCCCTTATAATGTGTCATAAAATTTTTAGTAGGTCTTAGGAAAACGATTTTACTATAACTATATTTGTGCCGCTCTACTTTTTTTGAAAGCTTTAGTTCTGTCATTAGTGTCACTTATTAATTAATAATAAATTGTTGTTAATTAAACTTTTATTGTTATTTTTTATTTTACATGGAAAATTCACAGCTGGCTAGATGAAAATCATTTATAACCACTTTGTACTTCTTTCTTAAAAAATGGATTATCGTGCAGATTTTTGTGACCTGTGAAAGATGTTTTATTCACAATCATAAAGTAATAATCATTGTTTCATGTGAAAAGTTGGAAAGTATGACATTTCAGTGTCATTTAACAATTGATGAAATATGACAGTTCCAGGTTGGGAAGTGACCACTTCCCAATAGAACTGTCATATGTCATGTTTTTCAAATTTTGATAAATTCTTTATTAGTTTAATAGCTTTCTTATCTGCTTATTGCTAAGCGCTTCCCACCTCGGTATTTTTTACTTTATGGATAAAATTTTTAGAAATGTGCCAATAGGCACATCTTCATCACTGAAAATGGTCTGTTTCGTGTCATATATTTCTAACAAAATTCAAAATTCTTGCGATTTATTGCGCCATCTCCCGAGTTGTTGTCTAATTACAGAAACATAATAACTGTAGATGCCGATTTGCGGCCATTGTTGATTGCTGAAAGTCATTTTCCTTTTGGTGAGTAAAGCGTCCATATCAGTGGTAAAAGTGATTCGAAAAGAGCGATTTAATGCAAAAATTCACACAGTTGAGAAATGTCTGAGTATTTCCCAGGGTGTCTCGACGGTATTCCTTAAATTCTTTGTCCAGATTCAGGTAAATTTGCGTCGTTGTGCAATAATTTATGTGTAGTCGAGGTGCACTGTACAAGAATCAGTAGCCATTTTAATTAGAAATCTGAATCCTGTTTATTTGTTGCAATCTTCCTACTTTTGGGTGTTTTTAAGCGATATATTTTTGTGTCACCAGTTACTGTTGATGACCTGGTTATTATTGACAGTGCAACAATTACAGGATGTTCTATTTTTATGGTTATATCTATTCTGTATTGACCTTAAGCTTTTTGCGTCATTAATGTGTAAATTGGGATTTTGCAGATATATTATCGTTCCTGTGAGGGATCTTAGGAACTGTACTTATCCTACACATTGTAGAGGAAGAAGATTTGGGTTTTATAAACCCTATTTTTTAATACACTCGCAATAGTATTTTCTACAATTATGATGACGGACACATTGAATTCTAACCATGTGATGGCTTTGTCAGGCAAAGTGTAAGCGATTTGTTAATTATTTAAAAAAAGTCATAAAAACGTACTTTCTTGCAGTGATATTGACACCAAAATGGATGACATGGGCTGGAAAGCGAAACTCAAGATTCCACCCAAGGATAGAAGAATACAGACCAGTGTAAGTAAAAAAATCAGTTTTTTTATTATTATTGGAAGGCTTAGGGTCACTTGCATGTGCAAACTTCAAATAATACGCAAAGGTTTCTATTATTAACGTGATGACACTTTGGATTCCCCTTCATTTTTCTTATAAATGATAACGTCTTACCTGAATTTCATTGGTCCCTCTTACAGTTTATGGAGTGAAAGTGCTTCAATTATTTATCAGTTTTTGTTTCTAGGATGTGACTGATACCAGGGGAAACGAATTTGAAGAATTCTGCTTAAAGAGAGAACTACTAATGGGTATTTTTGAAAAAGGTTGGGAGAAACCGTCTCCTATTCAAGAAGCTTCTATTCCAATTGCGTTATCTGGCAAGGATATTCTTGCAAGGGCAAAAAATGGCACAGGTATGTGTTTTATTTCAAATTTTAATTGCATATTTAGTAAGCCTGTTCTCTTACTCAATAATTGGATGGGGGGACAAATATGCAAAACTAATGGCTTGATTTTTATTAACAGTCATGTTTATCTATGAATATGACGCAGAAAAATCACATACAGTAATTCGAGATCAAACATGTGGGTGTTGTGGTCAATGTCAAGTTTTTGTTTTGTACAAAAAATGCCTTTTATTTTTCTAGTTTAATGTTTAATCCTAACACAATTGAACGATTTGTCATTCGACTTAAAATGGACCCAATTTTATGTCTTTTTTTTTTCGTTATGAGTGATATTTTACAATTTTTGAAGTTTGCATTTGTTTGATTTTCATAAAATAATTCTAAATTAAATGAAGCATCCTTAAAAAAATGCCAGTGATTATTAATTATCAACATTCTATGATTAGGATAGATAGGATCATGTCTACTTTTTCATTGTTTGAATATATAATTGTTTTTTTTTTTTTGAAAACTCATGTATGAAACGATGATTAATTTCATAGCCATTGTCAAGGCTCTCTAAAAATAAGATAATTAAATCGTCTCGATTGCAATAATCCTTTTTTGACACATTCAGTTTTTTGGCCTAAAGGGTTCAACCTCATAATATCAATCATTTGTTTTCAGAAAATAATAATAAATAAAAATTAGTGCTGTAAAACTTGTGATCGTGTTTTGAAAATAAAACTTTTGTTTTTGTCAAAATGGCAACTAATGAAAATTTTTTTCGATAAAAATTGGATACGAATAAGGTGTAGATATGTAGTTGTAATTTTTAGATTAAAAAAAAAGTATTATAGTGAGTTGGCATTTAAAAAAATCAAAATTTTTGCAGAACTCAAATCAAACGAAAAATTTTATTCTTGATAAAACGTCACATTTGTATAGTACGAGTACTTGAAAATTCATCAGTTAGTATTTTCAAAAAACAAATAGTTTTAGCATAAAGATTTGGTTACATACTTTTTTTATTCACCCTGTAGATCTAATAGGATCTTAAAATTTAGAGATTACCAAACGTCACAACAATCCCTAAATCGTTGAAAGTAAAAAAAAATTAAAAACGGCATAAAGAGGGCAAATTACAGAAAATAATATAATATAATAATATAATGTGTTTATTGTATCTGTCATATTTTTTTTTTAAATATGTGGAATACTGGAAAATTGTTGCATTATCATCATTACTTTTCATCTAGTGGACAAATAAGTTTGATTTTCGCTGTACAACTTCTCAGTTGAAAAAATGGACATTCTACATAATAAGACCAAAATTCGGCTGCTATAATTAGAGATTTGTTATGAAAAAAGGGGTTTTTAAAAATTTTTGAAACTAAGAAATTTAGCCAAAAACGGGTGATACATTCTGGGGTTCAATTTTTCAGAAAATAATATAATAAAACCCCACCCCGCGAGACAAAAGTTGACGCTTTAGCGAAATCTTAAAAAAAAATATTTTTTTGTTATTATAGCAGATACGGATTTAAAATAAAGACATTATACAGGCACTTTTTTACGTAGAATTTAATAATCTAGTTATCGGTTTTTTTCGATAGTAATTTGTTTTCAATAATTTGTTTAGCCGTAATAAGATAAACTTGTATTTTTTTAAATGCTATGATATTTTTAAAAAGCTTGTTTTTTTCCTATTTAAAAAATGTAATATTTGTAATCGATTATTATATTTTTTATCAAAAAATTATCTTTGATTTTTGTTCGCAGTTGGCCATGAAAAAATGTTGCATCTTTAATTAAAAAGATTTAAACTATATTATTTAACAAGTGTCACTAATGAAAGAGTTTTCTTAGCCCTAAGTAATGAAAAAAATGCAAAATAATTCGTAATTTAACTCATTAGTGACTAATAACATTTCTTTGTTTTTAAACAAGCTAACATTTCTATTGTAACTTTTAGTGACAATGTAGAGTCTGTAAAAAATAGCGCCTTTGTGGAATTATCCTACTTCTATTAGACCATCTAAAAATGTATTTTTTCTAATTGTGTTAACTGTTTTTTTCTTCTTCTTGGATCTTCTTGGTATGGAAACGATGAACAAAAACACGATTAGCCCGTCACACCAAACTTTTATTTTAATAGCACAACGCGTTTCGACCACAAAGTGGTCATCCTCAGGTGAGAATAAAACTAACTAATTTAACAATGGTAATGCCTTATATACTAATTTTCCGACTTTCACTTTCCCTACCCTCAACTAACGAGTAGAGGGGAGAAAAGGGAATGGGGCCGTTGTCTGAATTCATGAGATTATCTCTATTTTTAAATATTTCAAGACTCTCGAAAGCGTCAAGAAATTTACAATTATTGACTACTCTAATGATTTTTACATTAGTTTCATCTATTTTATGGTCTTTTTCAAAAATATGTTGGGCCACACTTGATTTTTCAAATCTGTTATATCTTAAATGAGCTATGTGTTCTTTAAACCTAGTGTTAACTGAACGACGTGTTTGCCCAATATATTTTTGTTCACAATCTTTACAATTAATTTCATAAATCCCCGATTTTTCTAATGGTCCTACTTTATCTTTAGGATTACCAAGAAAACTTTTGAGACTTCTATGTTTACAACTCTGGTAGAAGTCTCAAAAGTTTTCTTGGTAATCCTAAAGATAAAGTAGGACCATTAGAAAAATCGGGGATTTATGAAATTAATTGTAAAGATTGTGAACAAAAATATATTGGGCAAACACGTCGTTCAGTTAACACTAGGTTTAAAGAACACATAGCTCATTTAAGATATAACAGATTTGAAAAATCAAGTGTGGCCCAACATATTTTTGAAAAAGACCATAAAATAGATGAAACTAATGTAAAAATCATTAGAGTAGTCAATAATTGTAAATTTCTTGACGCTTTCGAGAGTCTTGAAATATTTAAAAATAGAGATAATCTCATGAATTCAGACAACGGCCCCATTCCCTTTTCTCCCCTCTACTCGTTAGTTGAGGGTAGGGAAAGTGAAAGTCGGAAAATTAGTATATAAGGCATTACCATTGTTAAATTAGTTAGTTTTATTCTCACCTGAGGATGACCACTTTGTGGTCGAAACGCGTTGTGCTATTAAAATAAAAGTTTGGTGTGACGGGCTAATCGTGTTTTTGTTCAGTGTTAACTGTTGATTCATTTGTTTTTCACAATTTTGGATTTTTAAAAAATATGTAATAATTTTGTTCTGAGGCGCTCCCATATTTGTTCGATACTTCTAACTTATCGTATTTTTTTAATTTTTAGATTTTTTTTTCCATCTATTTCACAGTTCACAAAACTTATTAATTATAATCAACACATTTTAAGTGAAATAGGTTTTCCATGGTCATCAAACAAAATACGTATTTCATTTTTTAAGTATAATTATAAAAAATATTGTTACAAATATACAGGGGCACCAGAACTGGTGCCCCAGAGGAAAGGTAAGATACCAGGAACATGGAAAAAATGTTTAAAAAAAATATCTATAAAAATTTCGAAGTTATGAGTGTTTAAATTTTGCACTTTGACTATTTATTTCTGTTGGAAAAATAATTTTACAAGTTTTTTTTGCTATAGGCTATTAAAAAGGGAAACAAGGAAGCTGAATCATAAATTGTAACTCTGTTCAATGTTATTTGTGGCTTTTATTGGCAGACATAAAAAAAATGTCAAATGTCAAAAAATAAATGTCAAAATTTTTTGACAGATAGAATTTTTTCCATGTTCCTGGTATCTTACCTTACTTGAAAATTTTCTCTGGGGCACGAATTCTGGTGCACCCTGTATATTTTTTAGATCAGAAAAAAATAAGCTTTTCAAAATTCCAGTTGAAAAAATACAATTTTATCTTATTACTGATAAACAAATAACTAACTAACTAAATAACAAAAAACTGAAAAATTGTTAACTACATTATTAAATTACTCTTAAAAAAGTGCATAATGGTCTTTATTTCAAATCCGTATCTTCTATAATAACCAAGATATGCCAACTTTTATCTGTAAGTTGAAAACAAAAGACGATGGCGAGATACGGTTTTAACCAATATGTATTATTTTTTCAAAAAATGAGCCCCAGAATGTATCACTCGTTTCGGAGATTCCGTATTCGGATATTCAAAATGCAGCATCTTGTGCATGTTTTTTTTTGTTTTGTTATCTTTCTTACAAGTATTATTTTTGTTCTTAGGCAAAACTGGTGCATACAGTATTCCCGTATTGGAACAGATTGATCCCAAGAAAGACTGTATACAAGCACTCATCATAGTGCCTACTCGAGAGCTCGCGCTTCAAACGTCACAGATATGCATCGAGCTCGCTAAGCACTTGGACGTGCGTGTGATGGTAACGACCGGTGGGACAAATTTAAGAGATGACATAATGCGCATCTACCAGAAAGTACAAGTTATTATAGCAACTCCCGGCCGCATTCTCGATCTGATGGAAAAGGGTGTCGCCGTAATGGACCAGTGCAAGATTCTAGTTTTAGACGAGGCCGATAAGCTTCTCTCACAAGACTTCAAAGGGATGCTCGACACTGTGATAAAGAACTTACCACAAGAGAGACAAATATTGTTGTTCTCCGCCACGTTTCCTCTCACAGTTGAACAGTTCATGCGAAAACATCTCAGAGATCCGTACGAGATTAATCTCATGGAGGAGCTCACTCTTAAAGGTGTTACGCAATACTATGCGTTCGTTCAAGAACGTCAGAAAGTACACTGTTTAAATACTCTGTTTTCAAAGGTTTGAGTTTTGTTATTACCATTTATACTTTATTAAATTTGTTTTTGTTTCAGTTACAAATAAACCAAAGCATAATATTTTGCAATTCCACGCAACGTGTTGAATTATTGGCGAAGAAAATCACCGAACTTGGTTATTGCTGCTACTACATTCACGCCAAGATGGCACAAGCGCATCGCAACAGAGTATTCCATGATTTTCGAGCTGGTCTCTGCCGAAATCTAGTCTGCTCTGATCTTTTTACAAGAGGTATTGATGTGCAAGCCGTCAACGTCGTCATCAATTTCGACTTTCCCAAAATGGCAGAGACGTATCTTCACCGTATTGGTAGATCTGGAAGATTCGGGCATTTGGGCATTGCCATCAACTTGATCACCTACGATGATCGATTCGCGCTTCATCGCATCGAACAAGAATTGGGAACGGAGATCAAACCGATCCCGAAAGTGATTGATCCCAAGTTGTACGTGGCCAAACTAATAGACGACGAAGATACTCCAGAAGAAAACGCCAAGTAACGCGAAAATATCACAGATAACTGTACATATTAAACAACGTACTTTTCCGAAGAATTAAATTTCAGTTGAAGACTTTTTTTATACTAAAAAATGTGAGAAAAATGTGTTTCTGGCAAAAAGGGTGATATACTGAGTTATTTAAATACAAGAGATTCTGCACCTAGTACTCAACTTATCACAGTGATTTATACATTTGGGGCCTAAGCATTAAATCGCATAAATTGTTACCCGTGCGCATTTAAAGCTACAAAATTTTACAGTTTGCTATTTTACAACACCATGAAGTTCGTCATTTAACATCTGAATCTCCGCGAACTTGATGGCGGCGTAAAACTCCACTGTGATACGTTCGAGTCGTTGTTGCAGATCTACTTCTTAAACTATAAGTTGAACAGTGTGAACTTTGATAGTGAAAAACTAAAAAATGTGTAAAAACTGAGACAAGACTCCTAAGTGTGCTAATAATGTGACTTGGGTTCAGGGAAAGAGAAGAAAGAAGGGGAGTGAAAGTGCTCCAATTTTTCCAAGGAGATTCTGACCACGATTCGGTGGGGCCTTACGAATTGTGGCGTGTACACAAGTATTGTGAAAAAGGTCCACTAAAAAATTCTAATTAGGGGATGTCCAAAATTATATTTTAATCTTACAAAAATTGCGAATTTTAAAGACTTGTTTCTCATTTTTACTAAAGGGGGGGTTATTTATGACGTCATTGTGGTAAATGTATGCAAAAATTTCATTTTTCTTGCTTTATATACGGTCTTATTTATTTTTATACTGTTGGGTAACAAATTTTTGCATACATTTAACATTTAAATATTTTGTTAAAAAAAATTAAAAAAACGTGAGGAGTGTTACACATAGCTAAAATTGTATTAAGTTTATTCTATATTAAGTTGTCTAAAGGTTCAATCTTAATAACTGTGGTCATTATACAAAATAGTCAACTTTGTCTTGGTTACTTTATCATATTCTTTTTTATATTATTGCTGTAATTTTTTTTCAAAAAATAAATGCTCTTCACACACAACTGTTTTTATTAAAACATGGCATTTAGAGAATTAACCACTACGTAGGTCTTTTCAGGACAAAGTAATTTTTAGGTCTATAATTGTGTTTTGATTTGTCCATAAAATTCCTTAAAAACCGAAAAATTTACAAGAAACTACGAATTTAAAAACAAGTCGACATGCCCTGAAATGTAGCATAGCCTTCATGAGCCTAAGATTTTTAATATGCTTTAAAAACAGCGAAGTCTTAAAAATGTTGCTTTTAAGTAAACTTTTAAAAACAGGGTTTTTCCTTTTTTTAATATACCTTTTTACGGGGTAAAATCAATAAAAAACAGTATTCTGAAGCGGCTTTACTAGTTGTTGAAATAATACTACAGTTTCGGTTTTCGCCGCTTTATTGTACAAATGTATATACAAGTGTAAGTGATAACACTATATTTTAATATTTTCTTCATAAATATACTAAAGTAAATTTATTAACAAAAATTTAAATTAGATTTATTAATGCATGGCAAGAAATTAGAAGAATGAGTAGGTCTAAGGGCAGGTCATTGATAATTTAATTTAGACTAGAACATATTTTACAACTCAAAGTTGAAAAAACTGAAAGGAATTTACACCAATTTATCAGATAACAAAATTATTTCAACAAAAAACATTCCATAGTGAAAGATCAGTCTTACAGGTTAGCATTACGTCAAGTCTCCCTTTATGTGAATACTGAAAATTATAATGGGTTTTTCTATAGTAGTCATTAAGATGAACTATGGGGGTTGATATTTGAAGATTAATTGTTTTGTGACAAAAACATCAATCACCTATTATTAATTATTACGAGATACGAAAGGGAAATAATGTACCCTATGATATGTACTTTACAACACTAAACTTGTATAAATTCGTTCAGTTCTATAATTATTTAAATAATTAACATAATATATGCATAGTCTCAACGGTGCAAGGACGCAACATTATAGATACTTAAGTATAGTTCAAACTTTAAATGACTTACATTTATTCATATAAATTATTTTATAAGATACACCTAATAAACATTAATGGAGAATATTACTTACAGGGTGTTTGCAATAGTTTACTTCGTTCTAGCACTGTTGGGACAGGAATATGGAAAGGGAAAAAGTTTAATATACAGCGTGAACATAAAGCATGGAACCAAGGGTTTCCTTTCTCCAGAAAATAATAATTAATAGAAATTAAAGTAATATAAAAAATGTGATCGTATTTTGAGTTTTGCGATTTTTTTTTGTCAAAATTGCAATTTACATAAAAAATTGTTTTTAAATATAAAGTAGATAGTTGTAATCCTCATTCATCAGTTAGTTTTTCCAAAAAATAACATTTGATTCCATACTTTTTATTCACCTGGTCGCTGTATGGAAGTTGTACAGGGTGTAATATTAAACTCGCCAAAATCAAATAAAAATTTAGCTATTGGTTCAGGACTTTCTAAATTCTAACGTGGGAAATCAGTTCTGAGGATTAATTTCCACAACAATTTATTAGTTCTTTTTTAGGGCACTTTGCTGTGTCACTTGTCACAAGTCTACCAAAAAATTAAGACAAATTTTATGTTTAGTAGTTTCCGAAATGTCGGACTTTAAATTAAATGTTGTAAGATATGCCAAATTTGGAAAATTCACAATGTTGGCAATACTCGTTTTCATATTAATGTGCATCAAAGTAGTCGTTGAAAGAGATCAATTTAAGGTGGCAACCATGCAAAAATTCAAACAAACCTAACCTCAATTTGTGTTTTCAAATAAATGTGTACCCCAGGTAGCAAGAAATAATAAAAATTAACAACTTAATTAACATTATTGATGTGATTAAATTTGTTCTGAATGACATTAATGACTTTTTGTGTGAATCGACCGCACATTAATATGAAAAAGAGTATAATTATCGTTTATTTTTTCAGGAAAAGAACTTTGGACCAATAAAACGCAAAATACGACTATTGTGCTTCACTTCAAGTTTCTTCACAGTCGGATGGAGGATCCAAAGCCGTATGTAAAGTGACGCTAACTCCCCGATTAATACTAACAGCTGGATAAAACACTCCGTACAAATCCCTAAAAGCGACCGCTCCTTGTGGTTCCTCATTGACAAAAAAAGACAGGACGTGGTGATTCAAATCTAAGAGTACTCCCACTGTTGAGCCTGCTGTTATTCCACCTTCAACCCTTTGTTCATGCCCTCCGGCGTGTTGAAACCACGACCTTTGTCGATCAATGTACATGGACCATCCTTTGTCATCTTTACCTGCAAGATTTCAGATTACTTTCCGAGCTAAAAAACTGTTGAAATTTCTTACCTAACATCTTATCCCTAGTCACGTCTATTCTGGCAATGCCGAATGCTGGATCGGTGTCAGCATCGTATTTGTCTATAGTGAATTCCCAATAGTGAACACCGCGACTGAAACCAACGCTACCCAAAGCCACTCTATGCTCCCAGCCTTCGCCGGTGACTGTTGCGCTGTCTTCGGAGTACTGGAGGCCAGGGCCCGACAAAATCGGGTCAAACGTAAACCAAGCAACTGCAACACATGCATCACACATTTTTTCTACAACTCGGCAATAAACCAACATAAAATCAGAACTAACTATGTCATTAATGAGCTGTATTTATTACGAAATACTCGTAAATAAACAATTATACAGGGGGCACCAGAACTCGCGACCTGGAGAAAAAAGGTAAAATATCAGGATCATGAAAACGATCTATAAAAAATTTGAAGTTATGAGAGTTTAAATTTTGTGGCTTGTATTGGCAAAAGTTTTGTACCTTTAGTAAATAATTATAAAAAAAAAACATATACTAGATCATGAGTATCATTCAATAGACATAAAAACTAGCTAAATGGAGCAAATCCTTTCAGATTCGCAAATGTTTTGTAGAAGTAGTCGTTAAGACAGCCGCTCGCCCCTTGTACTATCTGATTCGAAAAATGTCGAAATTGTTGAGGGCTTCGCCCCCGAGTAGAACTCACACTATCAGATTTTGTCAAAATTTATAAAGGAGGCGCGCAGCTTTGCCGCTCGCCCCCTTCTAACCTCACACTATATGATTTGCAAATATTTTTATATTTCATGTAAGATAAAATACCAGGAAAAAATGTTTAAAAAATTCTGTCAAAATATTTTAACATTTATTTTTTGACATTTCACATTTTTTTATGTCTATTTAATGATACTGAAGATTTTGTATATGTTTTTTTTACAATTATTTAGTAAGTGTACAAAAATTTTGCCAATAAAAGCTACAAATAACATCGAACAGAGTTACAATTTAAGATACAGCTTCTTTGTTTTCTCTTCTACTAGACTGTAGCAAAAAAACTTGGAAAATTATTTTTCCAACAGAAATAAATAGTCAAATTTTAAACTCTCATAACTTCGAAATTTTTATAGATTTTTTTTAAACATTTTTTCCATGTTCCTGGTATCTTACCTTATTTTTTCTTTGGGGCGCGAGTTCTGGCGAACCCTGTATAATTAATAAAAACTCAGACTATCGGATTTTATCAAAATTTATAATTATTTATATTTATTTAAATTTATTTCGCCTCCTTCTAAACCTCATACTATCTGATTTGCAAATATTTTATACAGGGTGTCCCAACGAGTTGAAAAAGTCCATTAGTGACCTTTAAATGGTGAAATTCAAAAAAAAAATTATAGGACATTGATAGATACTAATCTAGTCTATCGCCTAAAATTATTTTCAACTATACAGCGTGTCTCAAAAATAAGATACAATACAAACTTGTGTTTTTTTAAATGAAACACCATATGTTTCTTTGCGTTTTTATGACAATGTTTGTAACTTTAATTGGTCGATTTTGCTTAGTTTTAAAATTAAGACGGTTTTTTTGACGAAAACATGCACTTTTTTAAAAATTTATTACACAAAAACTAAGACATCTAGAAATATTTTTTTTACTACCGCAAAGAAGAAGGTACAAGCTATAAGACTGTAACATGTTTTTAGTGTGTTGCATTTGCAAAGATAAAAAAATGAAGACGTTAAACATTAAAAAAAAAATACCATTTTTTTTTTCAGTGGCCAAAAAGCGATCCGTGGTGGAATTACTATGGTTGCCAGAATATCAACAATTCTCAGATATTGATAGGCATTATTGCTATTTATTTTTTTAGATAGATAATGTATCAATCTATTAGATGCAAAAAGAAAAAATAGGGTGTTCCATTTTAATTTTTTAAGTTATTTAACTTTTAACAAACTTTTTAATTTAGTAATCTTTACAAACAAATGCAAAATCGTTTTATTTCTAAAACTAACCGAGATCAACTAATAATCCAAAAATTCCAAGAAACATACGCTGTTTCATTTAAAAAATACAAGTTTGTATCGTAACTTATTTTTGGGACATGCAGAATGGTTGAAAATAATTTTAGGTGATGCACTAGATTAGTATCTATCAATGTCCTATACATTTTTTTTTTTAGTTTTACCATTTAAACGACACTAAATTCAATTTAATTCAAAGTTTGAATGATTGAATTTTCACAAATTTTCTGCTAATAAACTGGAAATCTATTTTTTGTTAGTTCAGTGGGTACATCTAGTTTTTGTTACGTCGATAGAAATAATAAATTCATGTTATAACCTCAAAATAAAAAATTAAATTAAATTACACTTTCCTTGGCCAAATTTCTTTTATATTGGGCTCTTAAAGTCTTAAATAACACTTCACAAATCACTACTTAACTATTTCAAGTCGACCAGTGTGCAAATTAACTGGGTTTTACATCGTTTTTGGCGTACGTTCTATGTATTATTATTTCCGTGATCTCACAATGTCAGAATAACCTTATTTGACTTTTGTTAATTTTAGTCCATACTATTACCTCCTTAAAATATTTTACAATCTTTTTTTAACACTCTGTATAGTTCTCCGTAATCGTATCTTACTTGAAATTTCTGACACACCCTGTATAAGCGAGAAGACCTTTCATGGATCACGGATTTGTAATGGCAATTTCGTGTTTTCATATTATCATTAAGTAATAAATAATAAGGACATGAATATTTATTTACCTTCAGCAGTCTGCAGACCTATAAGTTCGCTGTATTCCCCTTCACCTGAACTATTAAAGGCCTTGACTCTTGCATTATACATACAGTGAAAATGAAGCCCGTCTACGGTGCATATTGTTTCAGTTCCGCAGTAAACTTCCTGAAAAAAGAATTAAGACACAAAAAAATTTAATCACAAACTTGAAACTTTCAAACCTACCCTAAAATCGCCCCCATTTCCATCGTCTAATTCCAAAACGTAACCCTCGACATGACTGTGAGCTGGAGGTTGCCACGCCACTGTGACTGAGTTATTTTCAGCACTGCATTCTTCGGGTATGATTGTTGGTGCAGTTGGTGCTAGAGGAAAAAAAATTGAAAAAGCGAAATTCCGATTCTTTTGTACAAAACAATTATGAAATAACTAACAGCAAGACATTCCAAAAATTCCCGTAGTTTTTCGTCATAATACCACAATCTTTTAATTAATAAAAAAGGTAGCACGTTTTAAAAACTCGAAATATACCGGGTGTCCCAGCGAGTCATAAAAGTCCATTAGTGAGCTTTAAATGGTAAAATTAAAAAAAATGTGTAGGACATTGATAGATACTAATCTAGTGCATCACCTAAAATTATTTTCAACTATACAGTATGTCCCAATAATAAGTTACGATACCATCTTGTGTTTTTTTAAATGAAACACCGTATGTTTCTTGGCATTTTTGGATGTAGCCTTTTAAAAAATGTTTTTACGCTAAACTTTTATTAGTCGATTTCGCTTAGTTTTAGAAATATGACGTTCTTTTGACGAAAACATGCACTTTTAAAAAATTTATTACACAAAAACTAAGACAGCTAAAACAAATTTTTTCTTACTTCTACAAAGAAGAAAGTACAGAATTTAACGTTGTAACATTTTTTTAGTGTTTTGCATTTGTAAAGATTAATAAATT